TTACGTTCAATAAGAAAAACAATGATGTATAATATAATGACACAATTTCTTAAAATTTTGTGACTTTTTGTACAACATGTAATTTTTTGTTATTGTTAATATTTACTGATAACTAGTAATATAACTGTAAGTAATATAAAAAAATATAATTTTAAACAAATTTCTTTATACATTAGTTATGCATCCACAATCCAATCATTTTGACTGCTTATGGGCAATATAGGTATATACTAACTTTCAGTCTTTCAAGTGTTAAACAAGTTTAATTTAATACAGGGATTTTGCTCAAGACTATATTTAAAAAAAAATGTATACTAAAATACTACAACTAATTTAAGACATAATTAAAATGAACATACTCATTTTTTTTTTTTTAAATTTCCAGTCTTGTCAAGAAATAACATCAGTTGAGCATATGGCNTTTTTCATGACTTTCCCATTTCTCTTCCTAAAATATTTTTTTAATATGTTATCCTGATTTTTATTTTGATGTATAGTTGAATTAATAAATGCAGTAGAATATTTTACACTAATGATGCGGGACAATGTTCAGCTGTTGACTTAGCTGGTTTAAAACAATGCAGTTCAAACCAAATGATTTTTTAAAAAAAAGCCTGAATATTCAACAAAAAAAAATCTTTCTAATAAATACATTTTCTTGTATGTTTATTGATTTTTTATTTATTTAAATATTGGGAAGTAAAAAGATAGTTTTCTCACATTTTATGCAATTTTGAGTTTAATTGCAAAGTTTTCACTAAATTATGTTAAAATAAATGACAAAAAAGTAAATAGTTCTTTGTTTTTCGAACCGTCAGAACTTATACCTACATTTATTTTACATGTGTGTACATATTTATGTAACACATTTATCAGTTTTACTTCTTTTCATTATTCTGTTATTAAATATCTCTTAATTGAAAAAAAAAAACATTTTCTTGAATATATCATTCTCCTTTACATTAAAATTTGTCACAATATGAATACATGTTCACATATTACTAAAATAACATTTAGATATTAAATACTATTTAACCATTCGTTTAAAATAAAAAAATTAAAAAAAAAAACACCTGGTTTTTGGGTTTTTATGAAGAAAAAAACAAAACAAAAACAGATTGCCCTAAAACAGAAACTTGATCGGCAGACAGACTTTAAAGTGCTTTATCTCATAGATGATAATTTTTTATTTTAATCTTAATTAAATCCCTAAGGAATTTTTTCTATTTAAGATAAAGCTTCGAAGTAAGCTTTTTTATCTTAAGTATAATATATTTATTTAAACTGTGCACGGAATAAGCATTTTATGTGGTATTAAAATTTTTACAGTATGTTATATATACCTAACAAGAATTTTAACCGTTTTTTTCCACTTTTTTACAGAATAATCTATAAAAAATGTTTTAATTGATATATCAACAACTGAATGCATAAAATTGTTAAGATGAATATTGTGAGCACTAAGAAAACAAAAGTGAAAATATGTTAAAATAATAAAGGCCTTGAAGATAAAAAAATGTAATTTAAAAAAAAATTAAACAGTTTTAAATTTAAACTATTTTTTGAAGATAAATTATTGATTATAAGTTACATGAGCAGGTAAAGCATCCATAAAATGAATGATTATACCTTTATTTTAAAAAAATGTTGCAAGAGTACTGCGACCCCTAAAGCAACAATTTTTTTTTACCTATAATGAAAATTCTATATATGAATATTAATAAAACACATAAAACAAATTACTCAGAGTGTAAGTTTACAGTTATAACAGCCGTCTATAGATAATTTATTTTTGTTATTGCTTAGACATGCTTTTATGAACTGATACAGTTAAAAAAAAATTATACAACCTGGCTACTTTGAAACAATGTGATCGAGGCAATGTGAAATCAATGTAATTGAGGTGAAAATGTATGAAAGAATGAAAGAAAGAGAAACTTTTTTTTGAATCAAAACAAATTTTTAAATGCAGGACCATGGGAGAGAGAAGACAAAGTAATATTTCAATGAAAAAATATAATTAGAATGATGTAAAGAGTAAAATTAATAAATGGGCTACATAATTACAAACATTAAAATTGTAAAAGTATATTATATTTTAGTCTTAATGGTTCTAAAACACAAAAAATAAATTAATTTTTTTAAAATTTAATATACAGAGCTTGAAATGTAACAATGTTCTTATTGTTATATTGTAGTTTAAAGAAAAAAATATTTTTTTAAATATTTTAAAATATTTTTAAACTTTTTTTGAATAAAGCATATAAATAGTAATTTAGAATATTACAATAATAAATAGGAGCATACTGCATATATACAATACAAATTTGTTCACCAAAGTGATAGAAAATAATTCGTAAATTAAACTGTAAAAATATGATTTAGAAAAGTACTTCATTCATGTTTATATGTTTCACTGCAGCAAACATGTATCTTTAACAAGTATGTAAAAATAAAGTTTGAAAAACTTTAAATTCTTTCAGTAATTACATGCTTTTTTAACTGATACGAAAAACTAACAGAACACGAAATAACTAACAATCCATTTTATTTTAAACATTTTTAAGAGTACTTATGATTTTATTTAAAATTTGCTTGCATTAAATTGTTTGACATAATTTTTTTTTGTGTTAAAACTAATTCTACATTGAAAAATTGCAGATTCAGGTCTATTTAAAGTATGTGGATTCCAATTATCAATTAAACTCAAAATTGTAACAAAGCTGAGAAATCTTTTTTCATTAATCAAGCTGAAAACATTCACACAAAAATAATGGAAAATTTATTTAAAAGATTTTTTTTATAAGAAAACCAATACTTTGTTTAAAAAATGTTTAGGTTTTAGACCTTGCTTTAAACCAACAAACTATGATTCAAGAAATAAATTAAGGGAAATGTACTAATGTTTGCAATTAAACAACAGAAAATGAAACTTTTTTTTTCTAAACAAATAATCTTCAACGCAATTTACTTTGGACAAGAAAATAAAATATATATGGGTAGAAAAATAAAATGAGTACACATAATTAGTTCAAAATTAAATTTTTTAAAATATAGAACACCTGAGTCTCAGTTGTTGGTTTACATCAAACTTGATCTGAACAATGGGTATGAACTATTGGCGACGATTTGGGAAACATCCCTGAGGATGATTCAAAGACATGCCATCACAATTTTTGATCCTCCAGAGTCCCCTACTTCTGTAGTAGGATAATCTGTGCCTGAAGTCGAGCACTTTACTCAGAACAGTTTAGAGATACCGATACCATGCACCCTCAGTCCCTTTGTGGGCAGATGAAAGAGGTCACCCACCCGCACGCTGACCTCAGCCAGTGATGTTTGACTTCTGTGTTCCATTAGGAATCGTGTCATGACCATCAGTCCACTGTATGACTATTGAGTCTCAGTGCATTTGCAGCTATGCGAAGCAGTAGCTATGAAGCCCAAACTTCCTCTTAGAATTATTACATTTCTGCTTACATTTTTAAAATTACATTTAAACAATATGCTTCAGTTGAATAGTTACTTAATTAACAAAACTACCCAGTTTTTAGTCAACATCTAAGTTTTTTGTAAGCATTTCCTTAAATAAATTAGTAAAATGCTATTTTTATATAACAATTGCAATAGAAAAAAAATTTTGCACAATAAAAATTATTTATCTGCAAACCTAAAGATAAATTTTTATTAACATGATAAAGTGAATAGAAAAAACAATACTTAAAGTTATATAAATACAATAGATTTTGAGAAACAAGAAAATCCCCCCCCCCAAAAAAAAATGTACTTACCCGAAATATTAGGAAAGAAAATTGCACTTTTGGATCAGCAGCATAACTTTTAAAAAGAAATAAGATTTCTTATCACAGCCATTAGGATGAAGTCTATTAAGACCATGCCCATTTCATCCTAAAAGTATAAAAAATTGTATTAGCATTAAAATAAATTTGAGATGCATGATGTAGAGAACTATCAACTGTTTGAAATTGCTAACTTTTTGAATTGAATAAATGGGTCGGTATCACAAGAACTAGATACTGCAACGAGTTTGATTAAAATTTATAAGCTTTACGCCAATATGGCGACAATCTTCGTGAAACGTTCTACAAAAGTCACTGAAATAATATGCATGGGTGACAAATTTGTTGAAATGTTTAGAATTAATAAAATGGCAATGAAAAAAAATTTTTTTGTACTGAATTCCATGCATTTGAAAAAAAAATTTCTAAATTTATTATTCTAAGCTGAAGGCTTCGGCAGCAAATATAATAGAAATAAATAAATAATAAAATTTAAAAAAAAAAAAA